ATTACAAATTGCTCCATTACCCCCAGGATATGCCCAAATTACCTCCACCACTGCTCTAGCTCATCAGGAGGGGATGTTCTGATTGGCAGTAGAGGGCACACCATTCAGTGTTTGATTTGTCTTTTTTAATGTATGCTTAAGTTAGTTTCCTTTTTTCTTATCGATGCTCTCATCTTATGATGAGATTGTTAGCTGCCTAGAGTCCTGGGAATTGGACAGCACACAACTGAAGCAAACCAACCAACCACCTGAACCTGCTTGATTACACCAGCTTAATATCGACTCCCATGTTGCTGGAAACTACCAAAAAAAAAAAAAAAAGTTCTGCAAAGCTAACCTCATGAAAAATCAGTGGTGCAATTTGCTCGATAACATGCAGGCACCCGCCAGGTTTATCTTTATACACAGATCAAAAAGCTAGCTAGATTCAAAGCAGCATCTGAAGAGCTCCTGTGACTCCTACAGAAGGGCTCTTTCTTGCCATGTCCTGCACAACTTCTAGAGATGAAGAAGATCCACAAAATCCTTGAGTTTTAGTCAATGAAATATAAGGGGGGCAGCAGAGATAGGTTGCAGTCGGTACTGTGTTCTCCTATGGAAGAGTTGATACCTTGAGCAGATCAGGGGCAGAGCAGGGTATTGAAGATCAGTGGGATACTTAAAAAGGCAGCAACACCAGGTAAGTTCTCTGTCTTCCAGGTAGGGTTACAGGCAGCCCAGAGTTAGAGGGATACATGTGGTAGGAGCCTCACTGTAATTGCTCCTTATCCAAAGACAGGTTCTTAGAAACCTGTCCTATATTCTAATACAGTGTTTCTCAACCATGGCCACTTGAAGATGTATGGACTTCAACTCTGGGAGTTGAAGTCCATACATCTTCAAGTGGTCAAGGTTGAGAAACACTACTCTAACAAATGAACTGTTGATCCTAGAATCTGATTCAGAATCTGATCCAGTCTTCCAAATGTTTACACACCAATTCCTACAGCCAGCCTAGGCATAGGAAGTTGCAATTCCAGGCTCTAGGAAGCACCTGCTTCTACCTGCCATAAAGGCTCCATGGCTGGCAAGAAAAACATTTGCAAACCAGGATCTTAGCTCAGGGCAAGCACCAAAGCTGACATTCAGTAAAATGAACCAGAAGCAACCCAAGGAAACTGAAATGTATTTGTCTACTCTTAAATGTCCTCAACCAGTTCAGAAATTGAATCTTATTCCTGCCCCAAGCAGGCTTTCCAGGTTGTTGTCACACCTTGCAAGCCTGGCAAATTCAGGAAACAAAGTTAACTTTATACCCAATTGTCTGGAATAGTATGAATATTCCTGTCCTGGATTGGGGATGGTGGTGGTGGTGATTGGACTAGAAGATGGCCAAGGTGCCTTCCGATTTTATCATTTTGGAATTAACGTTCTTGCTAGTTGGGTAATGTAACAGAATCTTGAAAGCCTGCCAGAGCAGGCTTATACCAAATTTAAGTAAGGTGGAGTTACCTCTCTCTGTCTCAAGGTTCCTCCCTCCCCTGGACTAAGAAATCTTTTCTGTAACACTCCTTCCTGTTGCTCCTTCCTCTCCCAGGGTCTGTTAGGTTTTCCATCACACCCAGTGGTCTTCTGTGACTGAGGGGAGCCCAGAACCTGGATCTCCCCACTCCTAGTCCAGGACCTTCCCCACTGTACCTCCCAAGCTCTGGGGTTCAGAGGAAGGGACGGGCCCCAAATCCCTCAGGGGGCTTCTGTGGCTAAGGAGGGATCAGAACCCAAGTCTCCCCGGTTATGGCTCCATACCTTCTGCCATACTGGCTCTTAGTGTACGGATTCTTCTGTTCACTGAGATGCAAAATGGTCTTGCTATTAGACAAGTCCTATCAGTGCTGAATTAAGTCATGCCCTATAAGCAACAGGGCTGTACAGTTAAATCAGCCAAACGAGCCGAGAGGCCTAATGTGATCCTTTTTATTCACATTGGTGACTGACTCTGTAGCAAAGACAAACAGTCAGAGTGAATAGTTTCTTACCAGCTGTTGGCCTTTGGGTCCCCATCCTGCATATTGAAGTTTTGCATTGCTAACCTCAGGAGGATAGAGATTCTGAGGCTCCCTGTAAACAAATAAAACATTGGGAGATTTAAATAAGATCCTGTCCCAGCCCACCTCAGATGGAATGCGTCTCCACTACCTCTAATGGGATCTACTTTCACAAGTTCAGAGTTGTGTTCATTATTCTTGGCTCTTTACAGCAAAATTCACCAACTTAACGCAAGGCCCATCCAGGATGGTTCTAAGCTTGTTTACATCTAGGATGATCCCTTGTTTTTTTAAAAAAAATCCTTAGAAGGGTGAGGTTTTCATCTCCGACATGTTCATCACAAGCTTACCAGCATTTTTCTTACAGTGCAACCAGTGGGGTCACAAGGTGGATCACAAGGTGTGTAAAAAGCCAAGGGAAGAAAGAGCTCTCTTGTGTAAAAATAGGTCTACTGAATTTGGGCTGCACGACTCCAGACAGTGAATATAGGTAGTCCTTGTTTAGCGACCACAACTGGGACTGGCAACTCAATTGTTAAGTGAAGTGGTCACGAAATGAAACCACGACTGGGCTTCTGATCTTACATCACCTTTCCTTTGCTTCACAGACCTGCGAAGGTCGTAAATGTGAGGATTAGCCGCAAAGTTATTTTTCATCACCATCGTAACTGTGAACAGTCGCTAAACGAGGCAGTAGCTAAATGAGGACTACCTGTAGATGGCAACAAAGTCTTAGAGGTTTTTTTAAAATATTACTCTGCTGCTATCTAGTGGTCACTGAGATCTTCAGAGGCCAGATTTGGTAGCCCCAGTATAAGAACAACAGCATGAGAGGCTCTTGTTGCCCATAGCTCCATGGCATGCCATTAAAGTGGAGGCCAAGGCCACTACTTTTTAAAAATTTTTTACAGCATGTGTGTGGGTGTGTGTGTGTTTATGAGACAGAGAGAGAGAGGGAGATCAGGAACCAACTTTCTTAGCAAAGAATTTTCTCCTTGGTTATAATATGCAAGCCGATTGGAGAACAGAACACTGTACTGTTTAATAATAAATATCAATCTATTACCATTCCCTTTCCCCAAAACTTTCTTTTACCTACTCCATCCAGTCATTAAGGACATGCTTTAAAAAAAATACTATTAATAGTGTTGGGAAACACTAAGTTAAGAGTGGAAACTCAAGAACGTAACATGGAATGTACATGAATAAGCACCAAATATCATTTCATTCCTGCAGAAATTCTAAATGGGTGTGAGAATGTACAAACTGCCCCCTAAGAAATGTTGCTCCTGAAAGTACACATCCTGTTGACATGAAAAGCTTTCTGATCATCCTGAGCTTTGACAGCAGAATCATTTGTATTTTGGAACCAGGTTTACCCTACCCTGGCCCAGGATCTTAGTTGCAGTTTTAGCAATCAGTGCATTTACACAATCAGGGTTAGGGCGTCAGCTGTGAATGCTTCCAAGTTAATCTGATCTGTAAACCCTTGTGCCTAATTTAGTTCAATATCAATGAGCTTTATGTTGAGTTACCCTTGAAAACCAGTTTGAAACTGCAGTAGTTGCAAAATGCAGAAGCTTGGCTTTTAATTAGTATGTGGTCTTGTGATCATGTTCCTCCAATAGTTCTGGACTCAGTTCAATGTGCTGCTTCTGCATTTTTAAAGCCCAAACAGCTCAGGGTCAGAAGGACCATCTTCTTGATGCAAACTTCACCAATCATTAAGAGCTGCAAAAAAAGGTATCCTGGTTTGTGGAGGTCCTGTTAGACCTGCAGGAATGGGATTTCTCCTGTTCCCTTCCTATACTGTTGGAAGCTCTCTTTCAAGGGCTAAGATTGGTTTCTTCTTTCTCTGTCTTCCACAAAGTAGTTAAGACATATTGCTTCAATCTGAGCTTCTAAACTGCTGAAAACAAGGTTGGATGTAGACATGGTGAGGCCCTAAGACTGAGGAAGCTGTAGAGATTCTATTGGGAAGCTGTGTAACTATTGAACGTGGCAAGAATGCTTCCAAGATGCTTGGAATAGAAGGTGTGAATGCGTGTGGAAAGAAGTGCATTGTAAAGACTCTTAATCAGTGTCATGGGAGCCATACAGGAATGCTTAATTTATGGAGACTTTTATATATAAAACTATAGTAAAACTGTAACAAATTAAAAACATTCTAAATTTTGAGAAGCCACTTCAGATTGCGAGGCCCTGAAATGTAACCTTCTTAGTTTATGCTTTAATTGACTCCGGCTGAAAATGTTGGTTGGTTTTGTTTTTTTTAAATAATGTCATCTCTAATGGATTGCTTTTTAGAAAATAGGAATCAATCTAGAGTTGTCCCAAAGCAGTCAACAATGATATGATATAATTTAGCCAGCCATAGAAGACAAGGCTCTGTTAAACAGAGTAGCTGGTTTTCTTTTCTTGTGTACACACAAGAGAGCTACAACTGCATCTTATGAACTTCAGCTGACACAATTCTCCCTTTCAAATATAAATGCAGGAGAAGGGGTGAAGCTGAAGCATCTTAATATCCATAACACCTTTTCCCAATCTGGTGCCTCCAGATATATGGAGAATAATTCCAAGAATTATGCATTATCATTGCCAAGAATTCTGGGAGTTGAAGTGCAGACTTCTGGAAAGTACAAAGGTTGGATAAGGCTGATCCACAAGCTACCTTTAGCAATGTGTAAATAAGCATTTAGGGACAAATACATATATTCTCTCCTGCCTATTTCTAATTGACCTTCTGTTAGTTCTTTTGGTTTTTCCATCTTCATTAAACGCAGTCCAATTTAGCTCTGAAAAGTCTATTTTCTTTATTTCTCTGATCATTTCTTTATGATCTCATTGGTAGAGTCTTGGCATATAAACAAAGGTTATAGCAATGAATACAGAAAAGTCTCTTGGATTCCTCTTAAGTTCAAGGTAATTTGAACTTAATGGTATTATTTAACCATTCAGCAGCAATGACGTTAATTACTTTGCTTTTCATTTACTTAATTTCTCCCAGGATATTTATTTAGTTGGAATTTATGTACTGCCTAGCTCTCAAAAGTCATAAGTGCGTGTGCGTGCATGTGTGTAAAAACAAAATTATACCATATAATTTACTCTTAGCCACAGTGCAAAAGATAGGAATGTCTAAACTCACTAGTATCTAACATTTTAACATTCTAGTACTTGTCATCTGTGGCTCTGTCAGTTTTATTATACTGTGTCCAAACCTGGCCAGTGACCATAACAAAGCGATCGGATCTCAGTTCACTTTCAAAGAGAAAAAGAGATGTCATCCAACTCTAGAAGCAGGAGGTTATTCATTCCCCTTTTTTCAATTTTGCAATGGATACGTACAAGAAGAAAATAATAACTTGCCAAATAATCTATTTGGTTTTAGCGGCTAGCCAAACATTGATCCAGCTTGTACGTTTTGCAGAATGGATTTCTCATGAATCCAAGGAAGTTTTCTTAGCAAAGGTATAAGATTCTGTTTTCTCTAAGTGAAGGCTGTCTCCCAGTCTTATGACTCAACTATACTAAGGAAGCCAAAAGTATCCATAGGATGAAATGATGTTTTCAGGTGTCTAATTAGGATTTTACTATAGACAATTTTTTGCAGGGTTCCTTGACTTTTGGTGTGGTGTTGGTCGTGTGGGAGAGGACTCACATTGTTACCTATATAACCTCACCTTCTCGCCCAGTGTTGTCCAAACTTGGCCACTTTAAGATGAGTGGAC